TCTCTGTGTTGGAGAGCAAGTTTCAGTGAAGAGGATTTAAAATACTTGCCAATCAAATACAACAGCCTTCAGTATGGATTTCACCTCAATGTAAAGTAACAAAAATCTTAACAACTAGACCAATAAATGACTTCATGATAAATTAAGAACAGATCTATTCTGTGAAAGATTTAATTTTGCCTAGACCCACAATGAGCATTAATGGAATCAGCAGTCAAGAAATCAAAGAATTTACTGCATTGAGCAAATTGGCTGCAAAATACCTCTTCAACATGTTAAAATGCAAATATGTCAGTTTGATGAATAATGTAAGCCTGTTCCAAGACATGGTATTTTCATTCACCTCATATGTATGTGAAATTTGGACAATGATTAAGAAAGACCATTGAAGACTTGGTCTTGGTGAAAATTATTGAAAGTTCTACCCACTTCCAGAAGAGAAAACAAATCTGTCTGAGAAGTGTTTCATTCTATTGTACAAAATGTCACTTTGCGTCAGATCCAAATACACTGCATGTAACAAAGTCAACAACATATATACATGTGTGTGTGTATATATATATATATTTAGAGAGAGAGAGAGAGAGAGAGAGAGAGAGAGAGAGAGAGAGAGCTAGTAGTCCTGGTCTGTCACAGTAAGATAAGCACTATACCATAAGATTGGTTTGAACCACAATTAGTATTGACAAATAAGGAAGAATTTAAAAATAACTTAAGAACATAGTAAAACCTAAGTTTGATTTTAGATTCTAATAAATTATTCCATAATTTTAAATTTGTTTAAACAGTTTTTATCATAAAACAGAGGTTACATTTCTTTTTTAAAAAAAGACAATAATTTTGTACCAATAACAAAATATAATTCATAAAAGAAAACCTTAAGTATATTACCAAAATGCTCATCGCTACTTTTTGTTGTAGTTAATTGCTATCAAATCTGTTCTAACTGAAAGTGATCCTGTGTAGGATTTCCAAGGAGCAGCTGGTGGGTTTGAACTGCTTACCTTGTTGTTCACAAGTCTAGTGCTGATCCAACAGTGCCACACCAGAAGTCTTATGACATATATGTTATTGTTAAGTGCCGTTGAGACGGTTTCGACCCACAGCGACCCTGTACAGGGTTTCCAAGTCTGTACATTTTTATGGGAGCAGAAAGCCTCATCTTTCTCCCGCGGAGCGGCTAGTAGTTTCAAACTGCCAACCTTAAGGTTCACAACCCTACTTGTAACCATTACGCTACCAGAGCTCCTTATGACATATATAGTAATGACTAAAAATATTTTAAAATCTGATACATAGGAAAAATCCTTAAATAATCTCTAAATAGATAAAATTAAAACTATAATATTTAAATATGTAAGGCAAATTTAAAAATGAAATAAGATATTTAACAATCATAGTTTAGGGGATGCCTTAGTCATGAATTCATTATCAAGTCCTACTTTGGCCTATTGACTGTTTTAAAACAAGTTAGTGAGCATTTAAACTGATGCTTTACTTTTCAAGAACAAATAGCTTCTGGTGTCGCACTGTAGGATCAGCACTGGACTATGTGCCACAAGGAAAGCATCTAAACCCACCAGATGATCCTTGGAAACCCTATGACAGAACTTAACAATAAACAACAACGAGCCTAGAGAATGAAGGGTTAAGAAAATGAGTTTTTGAAATAAAAAAATGTTTAATTTATTGAGACTTATTATATATCTAAAGGAGCTCTGATAGTGAAGTGGTTACAAGTCGAGCTGACAACCTTAATGTCAGCAGTTCGAAACTACCAGCTATTGCTCCGGAGAATGATGAGGCTTTCTGCTCCTGTAAAGACTTATAGCCTCAGTAAGGCCACTATGACCTTACAGGGTCACTATGAGTTTGAACTGACTTCACAGTACACCTCTACCGCCACCACCACACATCACAGAAACATAGGATTTTCAATAGATTTGCAAATTGATGGCAATGATAAATAGCTGAAGGCAAATGAGTAAGTTGGTGAATTTACAACATTCTGGGTGTAAAGTTCTGCAAATTGAGAGCCCTGAGAACACTCATGAGACAAGATTCCTTTTATTTCAAGGTTTTACATGGTGTCCTGGAGTGACACTAGGATTTAATGGAATGCACTGCCAAGTCAGTTTGAAGTGCAAGGTTGGTGGTTCAAGCTCATTAGCTGCTCCATGGAAACCCTAAATAGGATTCCTTATGGATCAGAACAGACTTTATGGCACTTAACAACCACAACAACAGAGTGACTCAGAGTCTCTGCTCCAAAATTAAATGGTCGATGTCAAACCATTTAAAGAGATATCATATAACCAAGAGCCAATAGTTCTCACAGAAGAAACCCAAAGTGCAATGAAGGCACAATCAAAGACCAAGGCCCCAGGAATTGATGGAGTACCAATTGAAATCTTTAACAAACTGAAGCAGCACTGAAGACACTCACTCATCCATACCAATTTTGTAAGACAGCTACCTGGAAAAATCATTACAAGAAATCCATATTTATACCCATTCCAAAGAGAAGAGACCCGATAGATTGCAGAAATCATCAAATAATAGCGTTAATATCTCAAGCAATTAAAATTTTGCTAAAGATATTTTTAAAAAATCTATATCAGTATATTGACAGAGAAATGCTTGAAGTTCAAGTCGGAATCAGACCAGGACATTGCATCAGGGATATATCTGACATGAGATGGATGTTGACTACAATCAGAGAATACCACAAAGCTGTGTTCACCTGTGCTTTATTGACTATGCAGAGGTTTTCTACTATGTGGATCTAGACAAACAACACACAACATTGTGAAGCATGAATATTCCTGAATACTTAATTATTCTCCTGAGGTACCTGTACATGACCAAGAGGCAGTTGTTGGAATAGAACAAGGGAAATTGAATTGTTTAAAATTAGGAAAGATGTGTGCAGCATTGTATTCTTTCAACATCCTTTTTCAATCTATATGCTGAATAAATAATTTAAGAAGCTGGATTATATGAGGAAAATGTGGCATTGAGATTGGAGGAAGACTCATTTACAACCTATGATATGCAGATGATACAACCTTGCTTCCTGAAAGTGGAAAGGATTCAAATGCTTACTGTTGAAGATCAAAGGCCACGGCCTTCCATATGGATTGTACCTCAATGTAAAGAAAAGAAAAGTCCTCACCACTGAACCAATAAATAACATCCATGTAAACGGAGAAAAGATTGAAGTTCTCAAAAACTTTTTTGCTCTGGTCAACCATCAACACTCATTGAAGCAGAGTGAAGAAATCAAAAGACGTATTTCATTGGACAAATCTGCTTCATGACACTTCTTTAAAGTATTGAAGATCAAAGATGTTAGTTTAAGGACTAAGGTGCCGGACCCAAGCCATGGTATTTTTAATAACCTCATATACATGTGAATGTTTGAAAACGAGTAAGGGAGACCATAAAAGAATTGATGCACTTGAGTTATGGTGCTGGAGGAGGATATTAAATGTACCATGGATCGTAAAAAAAAAAAAAAATCTGTGTCACAAATAGTCCAGCTAGAATGCTCTTTAGAAACCAGGATGTGCAGACTTCATCTCTCTTACTACAGACATAGTATTAGGACGAAACAGTCCTGGAGGAAGACATCTTGCTTGGTAGAGTGGAGAATCAAGGGAAAGGAAACAACTCCCAATGAGATGGTTTGGAACAGTGGCAGCAGTAGTGGGCTCACACATAGCAAGAATTAGGAGGTTGGCACTTGAGCGGGCAAAGCTTCATTTTGTTCTGCATAACGTTGTTCTGAGTTGATACAGACTCTATAATTTCTAACAAAAACAATCGACAAAGAAATTAACTAACATTTTACTGGTATTTAGAATATTTATTGGTAAATACAAAATATATTTACTGGTAAATAGAAAAAGTAACAGAATATAGAATTTTTGTTTATATATGAACTATATGCGCACACACAAAAAGGTACTAGTGTATAGAAACATGAATGAAACCCTAGAATGAATAGAACATGTCTTTATTATTATTATGCACATGATTTTTTAAAGTTTTTTTACAGTGTAACGTACAATTTTCTATACTGAATTATAGGAATCCTGGTGTTGTTTATTATAAATCCACAAATGTAAAGGGCTGAGATTTTAATCATCATTATTAATTTTTTAATGATTTGTGTATCAATTATTACATCAAAAAATACTTTTCAAAACACCAGTGTATATATTCTTCATAACAAAGAAAATTGTGCATTCACAATATTGCAACAAAGGAGAACTTCCAAGTGTTTCCAAGGCTGTGAACTAAAAAGAAGCAGACAGATACATGTTTCTCTCTCAGCAGCTGAACGGTTCACAGATGAGTGCTGTAAGTGCTGTCCCTGGACCTCTTAAATTTACAAATATGCACATATTCTAACGGGAATAATGAACAATTCATGAGCAATGCCTTAACAGCTTTGCTTTTTATTTTCTGAGATTTAAACTTCATCATAATTCAAGGGATACACTGGTATGACTCTGTGGGTTAATGTGTTAGACTGCAAAATTAGTTTGAACTGCAAAGTTAGTTAGAACAGCAGGATCAGTGATTCAAACTCAAAAGCCACTCCTTGGAAGCCCTATACAGGGTCACTATAGGTTGGAACCAATTCAATGGCACTTAAAAACAACAATATAATTCTAGGGAAGAGATATTAATATATATTAATTTCTCACTTAACAAAACTTAGAGTAGTTACTAGGGTCATGTTCAAAGGGTAGCTGAACTAGAATTTAAAACCTGAAATGTCTAATTGTGTCATTGTAAAGTAGGAACTCCTAACCACTGTGCTATACACTTTTTATCTGTGTAATACATCAAATACCTAGTGAAACTGTTTTAGTTTTTGCCAAAATATTATCAAAAACAGAAACAGAGAATAATTCAAACATTAAATTGTTTTAAGTGAGAAACATGAAAGGAATGCCCAGTATGGCTTTAAATATTTCAGATCACTATCATCATAAAAGCCTCCTGCTCCCTCTCTTCTTCTTAATTCTAATGAGAGCATTTTTCACTTCTTTGTTCCTAAGACTATAAATGAGTGGATTCAGCATAGGGATGACAATACTATAAAAAACAGAGGCCACTTGGTCTTTGCCCAAGGTGTAGGACCTACTAGGCTTTACGTAAGTGAACATCATGGAACCATAGAAGACGGTGACTCCCAGGAAGTGGGAGGCACAGGTAGAAAAGGCTTTTCTCTTTCCTGATGTGGAATTGATCTTCAGGATAGCAGAGACAATGGAAACATAGGATACACCAACTATGCTGGCAGATGCTACTAAAGTGAAACAAGCAAAAGTGAATATTACGATCTCAACATTATGTGTGTCAGTGCATGAGAGGGCTAATACTGGGGCTGTGTCACAGAAAAAGTGGTGGACTACATTGGAGTTACAGAAATGCAGAGTGTTCATGCCAATCACACTGACAGTGGAATCAATAAAGCCAATCATGTAGGATGCCATGATGAGGGAGCAGCAATGTGTAGTGGACATAATAACTGGGTATTGTAGAGGTTTGCTGATAGCCACGTAGCGGTCATAGGCCATCGAAGAGAGAAGAAAACATTCAGTGGCAGCCAAGGTGATAAAAAAGTACATTTGGCTGAAGCAACCCCCAAATGAAATATGTTTTTTGGAAGTCAGTAAGTTCTCTAAAGTTTTAGGGGTAATGACAGTTGAGTAACTGAGATCAAGAGATGACAGGTGACTGAGGAAAAAATACATAGGGGTGTGCAGCTGGAGATCCAGGTGAATTGTCAGAATCATCCCTGCATTTCCCAGCACAGTAATCAAGTATATCAGGAGAAAGAGATTAAAGAGGAACAGCTGGATCTCCTCAGACTCTGTCAATCCCACGAGGATGAAGTCAGACACGTTAGTGTTATTTCTACTTCCCATACTGCATAACGTCTCCAAACTGTTGGACATGAAAGTTAATATTTAGAATCAGTGATTTCATATTGAGTTTTCTTTATATGAATGGCCTGATATTTAAAAGATACAGTTTTCTCTTTCCAGAATTTGATAACTAAGAGTAGTTTACAAAATATGACTGAACAAAATCTTAATCTTACTACAATATATAAAGATGGTTATAAGATGACATTGGATAATGTATAATAAAAAGTAACACACATTATGTAATTAGAATTTAAATACCAATATTCTCAGTACTTCCCTTTATTAACAGTTTTGGTTGTGGTGATGGTTATGTGTCTTGGAATCATTTTGACTCAGTGACCCTGCATAGGGTTTCCAAGGCTATAAATCTTTACAGGAACAG